TTAAAAAAAGTTAAACCTGATTAAATGAGATTAACTGAGTTATGACATACCTCTTCTTGTTATGAAAATATACAAATTTAAAAGTTATAATTAAAACAAATATATAATTTTATTATTAAATATGAAGTGAAATGATATTTAACAAAAATTAATATGATGTTTCTATTATTAATCCAATAATTTAAGTTACATTTCTTTTGATTTCAATTTTATAACTAAAAATACAATATGAATATAGTACACACAGATTTCTAGTCTTTATGAATAAGAAGGTTTAAAATTATTTTCAAATTTGCATCATTTTTTTTTTTTTATCTAATTTGATTTTAAATTTGAATAAAAATTTTAATTTGATATGAATTACTTTAATTTTTTCATTAATTTTTTTTATCAATTTTTAAAAGAACTTTCATTCTTATCCCAATTTTTTTTTTTCTTTTCACCAATTTTGATGGAAAATACATAATTTTCAATGTTTCATCTTTTTAAATTTTTATCAAATTATAATTTGATAAAAAAATATATTAAGAGTTGAAGATTCTCTTAATTGGAATTATAATGAAATAACATCTTCAAATAGTCAAACTTTGAATATGTGATTAGTTTAAACGTATAATTTAATTAATTCTCTTCTCATATTTCTATAAAAATTGGCACTTATGACTACATCCTTATAAGTTGGATTATGAAAAAAAAAAATTGGGGTGTCAAACATTTTCCATTTGTAAATATCCTACATATTAAAAAATGAAAAAAAAATGTGTAGCTTTTTGATATGTGTTTATCAGTTTTTTTTTTTTTAAAGGACATAAACAATTGATATTTCAATTTAAAAAATTAAGAAGTAAAAAAAAAATAGATTGGGTTTTTTAGAGATAAAAGAAACCATCTAACTCTTCTATATACTATTAAAAGGGACTATTTTAATCACATAAAAAAAATAGAAATTATATTTAGAGATTATCCTTATATATTATGCTATTATATACAATTATAGTTGTAACAAATTAACTATAATATATATGAAAAGTTATATTAAGCTTTCATTTTCAATTAATTGAATTATAATTAACAAACTAACAAATAGCAGTAATAGTCTAATGGGATAGAAAGGAGATAAAAATAAAGAACACAATGATATTTAAAAGTTTTGAATTTACCTAGTTATACAAAAATCTAATTTTATGGTAAAATATTGAATTCTCAATAAATTTTCATATTTTTTATAAAATAAAATGAAGATAAAAAATAAAAAGTTTGATACCCATTTTTTTACTTCAATTTTATGGTCTTCATTGAAGGAAACAAAATTCGATCAAAATCCTTGACATGGAATGGACATAGATATTTCGATTGCAATCATAATCACCAATAATTTTTCTCTACCATGCAAACTAGTAAACAAACACATAAACCTCACTAAAACCAAAACCGAAACCAAAACCAAAACCAAAACCAAACCAACAATAGAGAAAAAGAATCACATAGGGAAAAAACAAAATTAAAAAATAAATAAATTTATAGACTGGGAGAATGTTACCTCTAACAACTTAAACCTCACCTAACCCAATCCGTTAGTTCTTCTGCCAGTGCCCGCGAAGTTTAGGAGTTTGGATGACTAATTAGATTATTCTTTAAATAAGACTTGAAAATTGATTAATTTTTCTTATTAAGTGATTTAAAATTTTGATATATATACATCAGAAAAATAGATAATTATATTACTAAATCATAATTCAAATTTAGATATTATTATATTTTTTTTAGATCCATATCTAAATTCTTATCTTTTTTATTTTTGTGTGGTTTCTATTCGGTTTTTTTTTTTTTTCCAGTTTATTTAAGATGGAGTTATGGGTTTCTATTATTTTTTTAAAATTTAATTTATCTGTGGTTTCTATTTGTTTTTAATTATTATTATTTGGGTAAGTTATGATGTAAGTAGATATGCGATAGACATATGAGTTTTATTGATTCAAAGTATAATAGTGGGAGATATTTTCAAATTAGATCTGTTTAGATAAACTTTATAGATTTTTATTGTAACAATCCAAAAATTTAAGTTGTTCCTTAAATTTTATATTCATATTATTTAATTATAAATGAGAAAAACCCTAAATGTTTAATTAAAGATTCTGTAAGAGTAAAATAAAATATTGAATATTATGGATGTATGAGATAAAGTGTAATTAAATTAGGAATTATATATTATCGAAATAAAAATGGTATATAATTAGTTTAAAATTTGGGCCATAGTAGAATTGATCCTAAAGTTAAGTATTTTAGGTAAATATGAATTATTAGATAAGTATGAATTAATGGCAAGTGAATGGGACTTAGACACATGGGCAGCCTTGTGGCTTGCTATCTACGGTTGCCTCTCCATAAATTGAAGGTTTTGCTCAGGATTGCTAAGAGGAAGGAGAAGGGAAATAAACTAAGAAAAGGAATAAATAAATAAATAATGGAAGTAGAGAGGGTCTTTGATAGTGGAAAGAAAGAATGAGGTATTATAGTTAAGGTGAGTTATATTATACATTGAGTCACCATAATATATTTTACGTAGATTTTGGGTTACCATAAATTATTTTACATAATCTATGGTTTATAAGTTATATTAATATTTTGACCACGTTAATTATTTTCTAAACTCTATTTGCTTAAATTGAAACTCATGGATATGTTTGTTTAACTTTTAGAAATTATTTGACAATGGTTTTATAAACAATTATGTTTTGTGAGTCCCATCACGTGAGTCTCATGTCTTGGGGGACTTAAATAACCATTGGCCCTCTGATTAGTCACTTTGTGACTCTCTGTCTGTCATTGATCCACTGACACTCTGATATCTGGTATGGAGCAAAGTGCTGTACGGAGCTAAGTGCTACACTATTGTGGGAGCCGGTTCTTGAGTCCATACATCTATTTTATTCTGTACCATGTTTATGACTTTTGGTGTAGAGCAAAGTGCTGTACGGAATTAAGTACTACACTATGGTGGGAGCCACCTCTAGAGTTTGTACGAGCCACCTCTTGCGTCCATACATCTGTTCTTTTTCGTTCTGTACCGTGATTATGATTATTTTGTTTATATGATTTCTATATTATATGTCAAATGATCTCTATATTATATACTTTGTATTTAATATCAAGTTTGTTTAGCCAATAATTATCCATGGTAAATTTTATGCCCTTATGCTCTTAGTATAATATTTCTCACTCTACCATGTGTTTATAGTTTACCACTTTCAGGCGACATGTCAAGGCCAGTGCGTGGGGTAGGCACAAAGCACTTTGTAGACATAGTTTAGCTCTGACAATGTAATTAAATAGAAGCTCCAATGATTATTTTAATACCCTCACTTAAATATTTTTCCGCTCGCGTTTAGTAATTTGTTTAAGAATTGACCGGAGGTACCTTCAGTTACTGGCCATCACGATGCTTAACCCTTGGGTATGGGGAGCGGGTCATGACATTTAAAACTTAAAATTGGATATTGAGATGCAAAAGAAAGATTTTAACTGAATAAATAAAAATCAAATTTATTAATTTTATCTGTTTGTATATCTAATTTTTAGTTTTTTTTTATAATATAATATATAAGATATAGATAGATATTTACAATTTTCATGAAAAATATTATCTGAATTTTTGAGAAAGAGAGAAGGAAGGCAAGTTTTAATATATATTTTTTAAAATCAGTGAGAGAGATTAGGATGGAGAGATTATGAAATATTTTTGTTATTAAATAAATAAATCAATCAATAATTTTTTTAATCTATTTTATAAATTAAAAAATCAATAATTTTAGAAAATTGATTAATTTGTCCCATTAAGTGATTTAAAATTTTGATAGATATATATCAAAAAAATAGATAATTATATTACTAAATCATAATTCAAATTTAGATGTTGTTATATCTTTTTGAGTTCCATAGCTAAATTCTTATTTTCTTTATTTTTGTGTATAACCATAGTGTATGAGAGAAATTGAAAAGGGTGCTGCAGTAATTATGAGAGAAGTAAAAAAGGTTTGTGGGTTAGAAGAAGTCAATAAATGCTATGGTTTTTTTTTTTTTTAAACCAAAAAATTAGAAAATTAGGATTAGAATATTGAAGCTCTCACAAAACTTGTAAATTTAAAACCCCATTTTTCTTATATAATATATATATATATATATACACATACATATAGTTACATCCATAGAGCTCTTATTATTTTAGGATACTCCTTACGTCCTTATATAGACCATCAAAGTGATGACTCACACCTACTTAGTAATAATAACTTCCACAGGTGGCGTCTTAAGCATCCTCTAGCCAATTCCTCATTTATAGGCCCTGTTTGGTAGAATTGTGAGAAAATAATTATAGATTATGACTTAACAGATTATAAATTATAACTTTAAGCATAAGCTGTTAACCTGTTTGGTGCGGCTGTGGGATTATGGATTTAATCAGCAGAGTAGCGTTTGGGTGAATAAGCTGTAAATAGCTTTTTACTATGTAATGTCCTTTTTGCCCTTTTTTTTTTCCTTCTTTTTCTTCATTTTGTTTTATTTTCTTTAGTTTATAGTTTATTTTTTCAAATTAATATTGTAACATGCATGGTGAGATTGATCATGACAAAATTTTGAAAAATGTTGAAATACCAATTAAAATTTTCAAATTATATTCATTTTAGTTTATAAATACATGAATATTAATTTATATTTTTTAATTTATTAAAAATTGTTACAAATACCAATTAATATTTTTTTAATTTAGTATTACAAAATCGTTACAAAATATATCAATTTATTAATTTTTTAATTTTAATTTATTATCAATTAAGGGCTTAATTAGTATAAATTAATACTAAAATTATTAATTAGTATCAATTAATATAAAATTTATTTCATTAATGGCTTAAAATGCTTTATTATTATTATTATTTTTATCAACAAAACACTGAACACCCTAGCCGGCAAGGACGACAGCTCTGGTTCATCGAAAAGGGATGGAGATGGGGAATGACGACGAAGGTACAGCGGCGACATGGCGATCATGAGAGAGAGAGAGAGATCTGTCGCGATCTGCCACGGACAATGCCAAAGAGACAAAAATCTGTCGCGATCACGAAGAGAGAGAGAGAGAGATCTATCGCAATCTGCCACGAACAATGCCGGAGAGACAGAGATCTGCCGCGATCACGAAGAAAGAGAAAGAGAGATTTGTCGCGATCTACCGCGGATAACGCCGGAGAGAGAGAGAGATCTGCCGCGATCGTGAACACACATGCACAGCCACTTCAAACACACAAACACACACACGCACACACATATATACATATATAACATATCTGATATTTGAGATCAAAGGAGACCACAAAGATCTAAAATTTGTGTGGATTTGAGGCGACATTTCCACCTTTCGAACCTAAGATCGATGACGAAAAACCCTAGGTACGACGCCATGGATGTAGCAGAGAGAGAGAGATAGGGGGGAGAGAGAGAGAGAGAGAAGAAAGAGATCTCTGGTCATGTTCATGCGAGAGAGAGATCTCTAGTTCGCCAGAAATCGCTCAAAAATCGCCAGACAGCTTCGTGTAAGAGACGAAAATGAGAGTGTTTTGATTTATATACACGGTACACTTGTAATAACTTGAAATTGTGAGGGGCATTTAATTACCTTAAATATGTAATTGGATATTTAATGATTTCTGAACTATTCAACTTGAATTGAAAGATTCTTAAATATGCAATTAATTACCTTAAATATGCAATTGGAGATCAGTAAGAAATAGATGTAAATGCCCTTTTAATTTAAAGAGAAAGTAGGCCTAATTCTTTGTAACGTAGTGGTTTAAGGAATAGATGGAGTGAAATATAAATGCAAATCTTGTTGTGGAAAAATTAATTACAAAAAACAAAAAATACATAGATGCCACATTAAGGTTCAGTTAATTCATTATTTCTAGTAGTTTAGACACGGTTTTCACTTGCTAACAATTAATTAATTGTTAGACATACTATTAACGCTAGCTCCACTTAAAGAGGAAAATAAAAATAGAGAAATAAACTAAATCCAAGGGCTACCTTTACAGCAACAAAACTTGGATCAGAGTCCCAAAAACTAATGAAAATTATTTGTATTTGACCTGTAAAAAGTTCATATGGGTAATGTGTATCTTACATCAGTTCCTTTCAAACTAAAAAGGATATCTTTGTCAATTCACAGAACAAATCAAACCAAAGTGTCTTAAATGGAAAGAACTTTTTACAGGTCAAATACAAGTAATTTTAAATGCTAATTACTACTTCTTGTTGTTCTTTGCTGGCAGGGATTGAATGACAGTTATAAATGGGGGTTCGTTTAAGGTTTCAATGTTAAAGAAAAGGGATATTTTTGGCAAAAAATGTTGTGCATTGAGTAAATTCACAAAATTCAAAATTAGTTTGTATGTGTATTGAGAGGGGATGTGGAATGAGATGTTTTGGTGTGTGGAAATAGAATTACCCATGTTTTTCTTAACAATTTCTCTGTTTTGTAACTGGGTTTTCTTTTAGTTGCGTAAAGTTCCTTCTCTCTCTCTCTCTGAGTTCACCCTTAATCTTAAATGATAATTACTACTTCTTGTTCTTTGCTAGCAGGGATTGAATGACAATTACAAATGGGTGTTGGTTTAGGGTTTCAATGTTAAAGAGAGAGATATTTTTAGCAAAAAAGGGTGTGCATTGAGTAAATTCACAAAATTCAAAATTAGTTGGTATGTGTATTGAGAGAGGATGTGGAATGAGATATTTTGGTGTGTGGAAATAGAATTACCCTTCATCTACATATCAAAACAACAAATCAAACCAAAGTGTCTTAAATGGCAAGAACATAACAAAAAGTTGCCAAAATAAGAGGAATCAAATGCAGCATTCACTCTATGATCTGTGTCTTTATAGCAGTTTTGGTCCTTGGCATTGTTTACATGGCTGGCAAAAGCAAAAAGTTGTTAGATGATCAGAGGGAGAATAAAAACAGTGGTAGATCACTGTCACAATGCAACTTGTTTTCGGGCAAATGGGTTTATGACAAGTCCTACCCTCTCTACAGAGAGCAACATTGCTTGTACCAATTCGATGGCGTAGCTTGTGAGAAGGACGGGCTAAAAGATTTGAACTACCAACATTGGAGGTGGCAGCCTCATGATTGTGACCTTCCAAGGTCCCCTCTCTCTCTTTCTTGTCCACGCAAACAAACACACACTTGGCACATAGTACCAAAAAGGTTTATGTTTGGCTATGTCTTTTGAGTATTATGAAATTTTACATGTTAACAAGGTTTAATGCCATAGCGATGCTGGAGAGGCTAAGGGGAAAGAGACTTGTGTTCGTTGGGGATTCGATAACTAGAAATCAATGGGCTTCAATGGTCTGTTTGCTCGAGTCATTCATTCCTCCCGCTTTCAAATCTGTGAACTCTAGTGGCTCCTTGGCAATCTTCAAGGTTATGGGGAGTCCAAATTTCCTTCACAAACGATGTTTTCTTTTGTCAAAACAAACTAAACGTGTTGGTTGAATGCAATGAGGGAATACAATGCATCAATTAAGCATTACTGGTCACCATTTCTAGTGGAATCGAGCTCTGATCATCCAATGAACCATCATTTTTCATCAAAACAAATTGTGAGAGTTCAGGAGATTGAAAATCACGCTAGGCATTGGACTGATGCAGATATTCTTGTCTTCAATTCCTACATTTGGTGGAGAAAACCAAAACTTAAGGCTTTGTAAGTACATGTTTGGAACCCTTTTGATCTAACAAAGTAAATTCTTCATTTAGAATAACTATACTACAATTTAATTACTCGGAATTGATTAGGTGGGGATCATTTGATGGAGTCTACAAAGAAGTCGACATGCCACGTGGGTATGAGATGGCTTTAAAGACATGGCTAGATGGTTTGGACATCCACGTAAATCTTAACAGAACCAAATTATATTTTGTTAGCAATTCGCCCACTCACGAAAGGTATAGTTCAACCAAAATTTGAATAAAAAATAACTAAAATGATAGCGTACAATAATAAATGACAATTATGTTTTGCATATTGCCAAGTTCACAAGCTCTTGATAAGAATCATAACATATTGAAATTTTTAGATAATTTTGGCAGTAACATGTTAGATTAAGAATTTGTTGTAAGAATTTTTCCTAAATATGGCTTAATGTGACTTATGCATGATTATACTAGATTCATCTCATTAAGTAAGATACATGTACATTAATTAGATGGTGACTAATCATTGATGAATGCATCTATATATACATAATGTATAGAAGATTAATAGAGATAATGTCAATGCATTAATGTAATAGGTTCATTATGAATGAATCTTAGAGATGCATTATGTATCTATTATGAATGTAGAAGATACATTAATCTATCTAATGAATTCATTAATATAGAAGATGCATTATGTATCATGAATGTAAAAGATACATTAATCTATTTAATGAAGTTCATTTAATGAATAGATTCTTTGATGGGAAGAATATTAGTATAAATAGTATAAGGTTCCGAACCACACTCTCTATCACAAAACTCAAGTTGTCACCAAGAAGGCTCCTATCGCCTAGAGAGAGAGAAGTGGTTTGAAGATCTTAGACAAGCAAAGAACTTGAAGATCAAGATCTTCCATTCAAGGTTTCTCTTTCTTAAAAGAGGATTTCATATTATCATGGATCAAGGTATGTATACACTTATTTTGTATAGTAGAAATTCATATAGTTTTCATGTATAGAATTGAATCCTTAATGGTTTTTAGTTTATGTTCCGCAAAGTTTTCTATCAATTGGTTTCAGAGTGTGGTTCTCAATTCTGATGCATAAAACGTATAAGTATGAATTTCATTTTATGATGATGTTTTGTGTAACAAGTGCATAACCTTGATTTACACTTGTCCAATTTTATTTTATTTTTGTCCAATCTTTTATTCTATTGATATTAAAATAAAAATTGAAAATTATTGAACAAGTGGTAATTATTTTCTATCAATTGGTTTCAGAGTATGGTTCTCAATTCTGATGCATGAAACGTATAAGTATGAATTTCATTTTATGATGATGTTTTGTGTAACAAGTGCATAACCTTGATTTACACTTGTCCAATTTTATTTTTATTTTTGGCCAATCTTTTATTCTATTGATATAAAAATAAAAATTAAAAATTATTGAACAAGTGATAATTAAGATAATGTCTTATGCACTTATAATGTTTTGTTACACACCTTATGAGTTGAAACATTGTTGACAGCCCAACGGAGGTTCAACACTATGTATGTTTGAACAACCGAGATGATTAGTATAATAAATATAGCAATAAGTTTTTCTACCCAACGTTGATAAACTTCTCACGTGCTTTAGTTAATAAAATAAAATAAGAGACATTGAGTTTTTTTACCCAACGGTGATAAACTCATTATGGTCTTTATGTTATAATTAATTAATTTTATATTTTATAAAAGTAAAAAAAAAAAAATCAAAACTCAAAAAAGCTTAGGGCAAATTACATATACCCCCTCAAGGTTTGGCTAAATTACAGATACCCCTGAGGTTTCAGAAATTACGAATTCCCCCCTGAATGCTATATTTGCATAATAGTGGGTGGTGGTGGTAGGAGGTGGGGGGTGGTGGGTAGTGGGTAGTGGTGGTGGAAGACGATGGTGGAAAATGGTGGCTGGTGGTAGCTAGTGTTGGGTGGTAAAAAAAAAAAAAACTCAAAACTCAAAACGGAAACAAATTTTTTGTGTTTTCATTTTTTGGCCAAATTTATAAACTGAGACCACTAATTTATAATTCAAAAATTTTACCAAACAAGTTTTTATTTGAGTTTTTAAAATTTTTGTAAATATAAATAGAAAACTGAAAACGTAAGTGTTACCAAACAGCACCTTATTATTTTAAAAACTATTTGTGTCAATTTTTGTTGATTAGTTTATTTTATTTTTATTTATAGGTTCTTCAAAAAGAGAATGAATATTCAAGTGATCCAAACTCAAAAAAAAATTTTCTTTATAATTTTTTTTTTAATTTTTTTATGATTACATTAGAATGTATAATTTATTTTTTAAAACTATTCAAGTTAAAATTTGCATATGCTTCTACAAATATAATAATAAAAAATAATAATTTATACATCTAAATTCAATATATATATATATATATATTTTTTGCCACAAACGTAATATGGATTTATGACATATAAAGTCATTAATTATTAAAATAAAATGTAAAAAATTCAGTTTATAGTGATTTAAAAATATGAAATATATTCGATCATACTTAAAAAATTACAAAAATTGATCAATATTTATTTTAAAACCCAATATATATGATTATGGAAAAATAATATGCGTACCGGTAAGTTTTTTTCAAATTGTGCGAAAAATAAAAAAAATTCATAGTTTCGGTTACCGCAACCGTTACGTTACGGCCTTTACACCCCGCAACCGTAACGGTCACGTCACTACCACCATTACGGCGACCGCAACTGCTTTTCAGAATCTTGGTTTCAAGCCAACGTAAATATTGTCTACCCTTTTGAAAGAAAAAACAGGTTTTGGATAGTTTTGATACACATATTGTGTTTTGTGTCACTCTTTTTAGGTTTAATTTGCAGCTGAAAAATCTAAGAAATCTCCTAAATGTTGATTTGTGATTATGTATCAATTTTAAGCAGTAAACAACAATCCCAATCGAACAATCAAGACAAATCGACACAACGATTTTACGTGGAAAAACCACAATTGGACACCTCCAATTGTGATAAAAAAACCACGGGCAACAGCCACAAAACAATCCACTAAGAAGATATAAAGGAATTACACATGTATACTCCCAATTACCTAGCGAATCCACGCCCGAATTGAACCAACCCCTATGTGTCTCTTCCAACCCCGTCTTCACCTCGGAATTGTCTTGACGATGAGCCACTCTAGAATCCACCAAAGCTTTAGGCTCAAATTTTTCAGAATCCACCGAAGAACAACTCTCTCTTTTGTATAGAATGAACAAACAAACCTTTGATGTATTCTACTTAACCTATGAGTTGAATACTCAATTAAACATCAAAGAAAACTAGCAAAATATCCTCAGATATAAACCTTAATATCCAAAAAGTAGATATGGAGCGGTAATCCTAAAATCTGACAGAAACACGTACTTATAGAAATCTGAATCGCGATGAACGCTCGAGCGAAGACTCTCTCGCTCGAGCGAGGAACCAAAAACGTGTGTTTTCCATAAGTGGCTTCGCTCGAGCCAAACAACCTACGCTCGAGCGTAAAATCATCTCTTTCAGGTTTTTATACGGACGCAGCCTTCGATCGAGCGAGAACTCCTTCGCTCGAGCGAACAAGGGCGGACATGCAACTTCGAATGCAATTTTGCATTTTGCTTCGGGGGCGCTGCTCCTCGACCCCGCCATGGCACTGCCCTGAACCCACCAAGGCGAATCAGCGAAGTGGCAATCTTGAAAGCATTAACATCACAAACTTCTCTGCAAGGCACAATTCGGGTTGGATTCGCATCTAAACACTCATAGCCTCACTAAAATAAAAAGTGGGAAAACAAATACAACTTAAAAGAGTTTTGTCAAACAAGGTTGCCAAGAATAAAAACCTAACAGCAGCTAGGGGTGTGCATAATACCGCCAAAACTGCCAAAATCGCACCGAACCGCACCGCCAAGGCAAATTCGTTATTATTTGCCAATCGAACCGCCGATTTTTGGTAAGAAAAATGGCAAATTCTAGTGACACTTTTATCAATCCGCCGGTTTCTATTTTTCTTCCAAACCGCACCGACCTGCACCGCTATTAAATCATATTTTATAAGATTCTAAAATTTTTTTTTTACTTAAGTTTGCTTATTGTTCTATACCTTAAAATATAGTATTACATTACTGCTCGAGGGGAATTCAAGATGTCAGTAATCCAAAATAAAATTGGATTCCAATTCACTTTTCAATCTTTTTTTTTTTCTGGCCATGTTGCAAACTTGCATCAGCTCATTTTTCAATCTAAATACTTTTCAACAGTAAACATTTTCAATATATTGTAAACCGTGAATGATATTAATTTTATGTATTATATTTGATCATTGTAGATTCCACAGATGCTTGTAATGAACTGATGGAATAGTCGTTGATATTATCATGTTGTTGCTACACTTGCTGCATCAGAAGAAAGCTTCGCAAGATGCTTAACATCACGGTATCTCTCGTCTTTTTTTTACTCTTTGATTTAAGTTTTGTAATTTGAATTATATTTTTTATAAACCGCCAAGGCAAATCCGCCATTATTTGCCAACCGAACCGCCGGTTTTTGATAAGAAAAATGGCAAATTCTAGTGACACTTTTATCAATCTGCCACCCGCCATACGGTTTCTATTTTTCTCTCAAACCGCACCGACCCGCACCGCGCACACCCCTAACAGCAGCAGTGTATAGAATTCTCTAATACATCTTTTTGAAGATTATAGATTTCTCTGATACATCTTTTTGATCCAGCACATTCATATGGTTCTGTATACTCAATTTAATTTTTTTTTTTTAGTAATTTTTTTTAATATTTTAGATATATCTAATCTAAATAAGTTTAAAAAGTATAATATATTTGTGAATTTTTTTTAAAAAAATTTACTAAATAAAAAAGTATAAAAGTTTAATATATTTTTATATTTTATTGTATTCAATGATTTTTTTTAAAATTTTCGTACAAATTTTATTATTATTTTTTAAGTGTATTAAGATTAAATGAATTTGAAAATTAAAAAAAAAATTAAAATGTTTAAAAAATATTAAAAAAACTAATTTAAAACTCAAAATTATTTTTGAAAATTCAAAATCAACAGGGTTATTTAGTTTCTTCCACCCAAGTATTTTATGAATCCTTGATATAGTATAGTGGATGTGAGTTTCAAGTATATCATCAAAGATGTAGTAGACAAAAAAATAAAAAAAACAAACAAATAAAAAAATTAAAGATTCCCATGAGGCTTCGAGAAAAAGGAAAAATTAGAAGCTACTTATACTCCATGGAAACAAGGTCTTAACTAATAGTCTGATATTACATTTTATTGCATTTTCTACTAATAACTAGGCTTATTATTTTTGAGTTCGAGCTGAGCTGATTGTGTCTTCATCTAAGCACAAATATACAAACTTACTGACAACACCTTCAGCGATAAGGATACGATTTTTAGACAAAAAATGAAAATTACAGTAGAAATCTTCAAAATGCATCATCACCCTCATGTAGGAGCATCTGATCGAAGTGCCACACTCCTGCATGTGCCCAAAAAACAAAAAAACAAACACATAAGATCATGGGGAAAGAAGATAATGGCAACAACAGATCCAAATTTTGATAGAGATTGAAAAAGAAAAAAAAAACAAAACAAAAAAAAGAACAAAAAGAAAGAGAAGCTGATAATGAACGGTGACAATGAAACTTGTTTTATACCGTGTCCTTTCCCAACCATCCGCAACTGAGTAACATATTCCGCAATTTTCTTTATAGCTTCAACCTGGCAAAGGAAATAAGGAGGAGGTTGGGAGGAATCAAATGATATTATAAAACTTACACAAGAAAACAGTTTTTGGAGATTATGTTTTAGAAATTTTTTCAGAAAACAATTTTTGGAGAAAAATTTCAAACAAGAAAACATAAAACAGAAACAATACTAATATTGAAGTATATATGATAGTCAAATTGTTGCTTTAAATGAGTGATTTCTTTTACCCCTAGTCACTTGTCAAAGATAATAAGCAATGAGTAGATAAATTAAATGGCATCTTTCATTGAATTCTATGCATGAAAATATGTTAGAACATGTCTTCTAATGAACCATTGAAAAATGGGCATTTAGATACAAAGAAGTACAGAAATAGGCATTTATCTAAAACAAAGTAAAAGATGAAGTTCTTAACTGACCTGCTCAGTTAAAAATTCACTCTCAATAAACTCGCACATTTGAGGATCATTGTTTCGATCGGCCACCTGTTGTCAAGAACAGAGCATGTAAGGTGATTAGTCTTAGTGTCAAGTCACGAACCAACGTTTTAAACTCATACACCATGAGTTATATTTGAGCAAATGTTTTGTCACACTAAATACCTAAAAAAAAAATAAATAAATAAAATTCAAGAGAATGAATTCAAAATAAGAAAACTAGACATAGGGAGTGAAGGATATCTTACAGCATGCAAGCTCAGCAGTTTCTCATTCGTCAACTTCTCCAAGGACAAAGCCAGTTCCATTGCTGAAATCATCAAATCACAGATGACAAGAGTTACTTACACAGGATATCATAGTAATCACGGTTTAGAACTGAATAACAACATGACCCTTGAAGCAATTTGGACATGAACACTTTAAGGCTTAAATGATACACACAAACACACGAATGCACAAGCATTTTGTGAATATGTAACAGACATTACCGTACAACGCGTAAAAGAAATGGCTACTTACCAAACAATGCATCACCCTTCTCAACATGATCCAGACGACAAGAGTTACTTACACAGGATATCATAGTAATCACTGTTTAGAACTGAATAACATGACCCTTGAAGCAATTTGGACATGAACACTTTAAGGCTTAAATGATACACACAAACACACGAATGCACAAGCATTTTGTGAATATGTAACAGACATTACCGTACAACGCGTAAAAGAAATGGCTACTTACCAAACAATGCATCACCCTTCTCAACATGATCAAATTCGGAAAGGGGCAGCAATATAGAGTGTAGTTTCACTCTTCCTCCGCGTTTGTTCTAATTTTAATCAAAAGAAGTAACAGTGTTATACAAGCAATTGGAATTTCTTTTAGATGATTTGAGCATAAAGGAAAAATGAGAAGGAAACACATGATATTAGACAAACACCTGGTATTTCATGAACTTTTCAGCGTGTTCCCTTTCTTCTTCACTTGACTCCTTGAAAAATCTGAATGTAACAAGATCATATATTAAGTAATAAGTTGTACAAATAACAAAAATACAATGCTTAAAAAAGAAAAAAGAAAAAAAAATGAGGATTTTGTAGATTTGTTACTTGGCAAGACCCTTAAGAGCAACATTGTCCCTGTCAAAGTAGGCGAACATGGCGTGATACACATAGGACACATTATATTCCACACTGTGATGACAAAGATAGAAATGTTAGAAACCCAAAAACAACATAAGAAGATAATAAATAAATTTTCTAAGCAAAGAAATTTGGAATGCAGACTGAGCCTGCCTTTTTTATGTATACAAAATGGAAAATTCTAATATACACACCCCTTGAAAGGTGTACTATATGCCCCCTAGTTATACTATTTTCTTCTTTAGTTATGACCAATTTTTTTTCTTTAGTTGTGACATTATTTTAATTATGATTCATGAGATCGTTAATTATATGTCTCATTTTGTGTTTAGTTATGACTCAGAAAGTATAAAATTATGTCATTTTCTTCTTTAGTTATAAGATACATATTTAAGGGTGTGTATCATAATGTTTCCCATACAAAATTTTGAAAACAAATGTAGGTAAATACAGAGTATAAGACAATCTCCACACAAACTATATAGGAAAAGTAATAATAGATGGAATTCATCTAAGAAGTACGGACACGAATATAGACATAGACAATGGTATTGATAAG